AAATAACATTTTAAGGAAAAAAAACTACATTTTCCAAAACAAAAATTTAGTGAATAGAGTACTACTGTGCTATATATTTTGCAAATCTCACACCTGGCTTGAGAGAATAGCTAGATTCTCATATATGCTATAAATATAGTCTATTAATTCCAGAAAGCAAAAATAAAACAGACAAAACTGACCACTATGCAATAAAACTAGAAATTAATACAATTGAAAATTTAAAAGATCCTTTCATCTGAAAATTTTTATTGGTTCTTTTTAGTTATACATGATAGTAAAATCCATTTGATTTAATTATATAAGCATGGAATATATCTTATTCTAATTAGGATGTCATTCTTGTGTATATACATTATGGTGTGATTTACTGTGGTGTCTTCATATCTTCAGATAGGAAAATTATGTCAGATTCATTCCACTGCCTTTTCTTTTCCTTCTCTTCTCTTCATTCCCCTTTGTCTAATCTACTGAATTTCTCTTCTCCCTCTACCTTATTGTGGGTTAGCTTCCACATATCAGAGAAAACATTCAACTTTTGGCATTATGGGACTGACTTATTTCATTCAGAATGATAGTCTCCAGATCCATCCATTTAATAGCAAATGTAATAAAAACATTCTTCTCGATGGCTGAGTAATAAATATTTCGTTGTGTATATATACCACACTTTCTTTATCTATTCATCTGTTTAAGGGTACCTAGGTTGGCTCCATAGCTTATCTATTTGAATTAAGCTATAAACATTGATGTGGCTGCATCATTGTAATATGCTGATTTTAAATCCTTTGGATATGTACTGAGGAGTGGGATAGGTTGGTCAAATGGGGGTTCCATTCCTTTTTTTTTTTTTTTGAGGAATCTCTATACTGCTTTTCAGAATGGTTGCACAAAATTGTAGTCCTACTAGCAATGTATGAATGTACCCTTTTCCCCACCTCCTCACCAACATTTATTTTTAATTGTTTTTCTTGACAATTGCCATCATGACTGGAGTGAGATGAAATCTCTGTAGTTTTAATTTGCATTTCTCTAATTGCTAGAGATGTTGAACATTTTTCATACATTTGTTGACCATGCATATTTCTCTTTTGAGAAGTATCTTTAGACCCTTATACTGTGCTAAGTGCCTATGCCTCACTGTGCTCCCATACCTCTCAAACATACTTTTCTTACTTTTACCATCTGAGATCGAAATCCTTTGTTCATTTATCTGTTTCTCACATTGGTCTTGTAGGAAACCTGGCTGTTTAATTCATTTCGTACTTCTAACATGTAGCATGATGCTTGGTGCAACATAGATACTCACATTTTGTTGAACAGATTGTTCAAATTCCACACATCATGCTCATTTCTGTCTCTTCCATATTTGATGTTGTTTCATCCCCTGGTAAGCTTTCCTTACAATTCAAATCCTTCCTGTACTCCGTGATACATCACAACTTCCATTACTGCTATAGCTCTTGCTATTATACTTTTTCTCTTATAGTCTACTGTTCATTGACAATTGCATCAATTATAGCCCCACAACTGACTCACTCTCCTTGAGACAAGGGGTTATATTTTATTCTGCAATATACTTCTTAGTGCTTTATATGGTAATGAGTTTTTCTCAATTTATATTTGGTAATTGATTATTTTAGGCAATATCATGTAGAGGGATAAATATAGGTTTAGACATGTGTTTGAAGCCACTTGTGAATTTGCACCTCAAATTTGTTGGGTAAAAAGTAAAAATAATTTAACATCATAGGATTGAACAAAGGTGAAGTGAAATAAGGTGTAAGTGTGCGTGTGCATGTGTGTATGAGTGTGTGTGTAGAGAGAGATAGAATAGATTCCTCTGTGTATATATAGATATGTGTATGTATGTGTGTGTACGTATATCTCATCACAGAATAGGTTTAAATATTAATTTTTTAAAAAAGTTTTGTTTTCTATCATAATTCTAAGACAAGTAATTTGGATGTTTTTTGTTTTTCTTCATGAGTTCCAAATTAAGCTGCTTTTTATTTTTTTACTTTCATGTAACTTTCAATTGTTGCCCCGGATTTAATACATTAGACCTGAGGTTCTCATCCTTGACTTCACATTAGAATTATTTGAGGGGCTTTTAGATATCCCAATGCTCATATCATTCCACTGGTCAATTAAATTACCATCCCTGGATCCTACACATTGTGTTTTGTTTTGTTTTTTAAAATTCATTGAGTGGTTCCAACATGAAGCCAAATTGGAAACTACAATGTTAGATTATAAAGACATACCCTACCCAATTCATGTTTTAAAAATAAAGACCTTTATTCAAGGAGTTCTGAGATAGGGCTGTGATTAGGAGAAGATTGGACATACAAGTGCTGGGTTGTCGAAGATTCTGAAAATTACAAGATGCAAAGAAGCCTCAGTTTCTGGATAAACTCAGAAACAAAGGATCCTAGCAGGGGCAAGTACAGCAAATCTGAATGGGGTGAAGGAGCAGTTTCTAAGATAATGGAGAGTGTAAGAAATAATGAAGTTTTATTATAGGATTAGACCAGGAGTTCTGATATTTAGATCAATGAATAGGTTTCCTGACTTCAAAGAAAGTGTTTACACATTTTTTTAACATTTATTTTTTAGTTGTAGATGGGCACAATGCCTTTATTTTATTTATTTATTTTTATGTGGTGCTGAGGATCCAGTTCAGGGCCTTGCACATGCTAGGCGGGTGCTCTACTGCTGAGCCACAATCCCAGCCCTGTTTACACAGTTTTTATACATTATTTTATGAGATGTCTACAGATGAGAACAAGAAAAGAACATCATTCTGTGGAAAAGCCAAGGGCTAAAGTAATAGTAATCACACCACAGTACTAGAACTGCCTCTGGATATATGATTGGCAGCTCTTTTGAAGTCCTATGTTGTCTCTATTAGACTCTGTTGTAATTGTGGAGAAACAAAGGAGGAATTAAAGATAAAACTACATACAGTGTATTTTATAATTATAAGCACTAAATAAGTGCACAAATGCTCTGATATATAATCTGAGTTTTTAATCACAATAAAGATCATTGGCTCAGTCTAGGGAAGGTGCTCAACAATAGTTAAAGTATAAACATCTGAAAAGCTTTCACAAAGTAAGGAAGCCATGTTCCACCCCTAAAGAGTCTGATTTAATTGATCTTACATGGAGCTGTAACATGACTATTTCCCCCAAACAATTTTAATATAGCCAGCATTGAGGACCACTTATATAGAGGAAGCCAGGATTCCTTGCATACCTTGGGTGCCTTAAAAAATGCATAGTATTGGCTATATAAATCTAAACCTTAAAATAAGGATAGTAGTAATTTCCTATAAAAGGTTTTTGTAAAGATTCATTTTAGTCCCATGTTTTTCAGGAAGTCCAGAATCTTCAGTTGATCATTATCAAATCAGGGAGCCACTAATCACAAACTTGAAAGGGGCTGAAATTAACCAAGGATCAGGAAAATATTCCCTTGGTATATTTCTCATGAAATATCAGATAATAATAACTAATGATATTCATTAAAAAACAAATTCCCTGTCCCTGCCCCTAAAAGAGTGAATCATGTTCTGCAGGATGATACCCCAGGTGATTCTTATCAGAGAAGATTAGTAAACATTATAGTTTAAGTTGATATATTGTCATTCTGCTATTGATTTATGGTAGGAGGATATATATATACCATAAGGATATGGATATATATAGATATATATATATAGATATATATCCCCAGGATATATATATGTATGTGTGTGTATATATACACACACACACACACATATATTTATATGACCCCAATGCCCAGTTTTTATGTTTGTCATCTAGATTGTACTTTTCTTGGTATCAAAAAATATGGGAAAAATTATAAACAGAGAGTGATATGGTGAGCATGAAATCAGAATACAGGGATAGGAGGACAAATTTGGGGAATCATTCATTCAAATTTTTACGTGACCTGCTGAGCTCTTCTGGTATCACACTAAGAGTATATCTTAATAGTGAACAGAGTCTCATGTCTTCAAAGTCAGCATCTTTCTTTCCATTTGACCGTAGTCTTTTATTTCTGTGAATAATCTTCACTCAGACAAAACAGATATACTTCATAATGATTAATTTAGCTTCCTTTCCATGATTAGCTTATTGTTTGATATAAAAGAGGGTGACCTTAGTTGTCCGTAATATCTCTACAGCACCAATTTATTGCCTCATTTCCTAGTGTGGGATTGTTTTTATATTTGATTTAGGAAATTTATTAATTTGTTTCTTCTGACCAAAGATGAAGTAGAAGGATGGTGAGAGTAAGACAATGAAAATAATTTATTCCCCCACTTCTATCCAAGAAGCAAACTATTAAGGTAGTTGGACATTTCCTATTTTATAGTTTTTGACTCTTTTAAAATAGTAACTAGCAGTTTTGTTTTAGAATTTTGCTTTCAGCTTTTATCCTGTGAGTGAGGCTCACTGAACCTCTCTCCTTTCTAAAATATGTGGAAATTACTTTTGGTAGCTAATGCACTACAGTGATTTCAGGTAAGAGTGTAAAAATTTGCTTTTGTTTGTCTTTAATCTTTTGGGACATTTCAGACTTTGGTTGGGTGGAAAAGAATTAGTGGCAAACAAAAAGAGGTTTGTCAAGGGACAATGAGTCAAAAGTTGTGCAAGCACGCTAAATTTGAGGTGCCTGCTACACCATCATGTAGCAACAGTAAGCAAGCAGATACCAGATTTTTAGGGAATAAATCAAGGCTACAGAAACAGTGTGGTATAGTGCAAAGAATTCTGGGGATTAAATTAAGAGACATGGGCACAAAGGCTCACTACTACTAAATGACTCTGTGACTTTGACTAAGTCATTTTGCCATTCTGGGCCCAGTCCTAATTGGAAAATTTCAAGTAGATCATCTCTAATAAATTCTTCTCCAGTCCTAATATCAAATGATTCTAAGTGTATCCATACTAACCTTCTTAACTTGAACTTTCTATTTTTTTCAGCATTTAATATGAGAACCTACATTTGCCATATTTGTAGTATAACCTTTACATCTTTAGATATGTTCCGGTCCCACATGCAAGGGAGTGAACATCAAATTAAGTAAGTGGTTTTTTTGATAAAATGTTCCTGACACCAAACACATATTTTACAAAACTTCTCTGGGCATTCATTTCCTTATGAGTTGAACTAGATATGGTTAACAGTATTAGTAACATTGTACACTAGTGTTCTTGTGTCACCATAGTGTGCTGGAAGAGCTGGCTCTTTTGTATCCCTCCTGACCAGAGAGCATTACATTTTTTAGAGAGATGCTAAGGAATCATTCTCAGGCTAACCATACAAATTCAAAGCATTTCTAGAAACTTGGCTTAGTTCCACAGTTTCAATGATCCAGTCAGCATTCAGTGAGGTGTAGTGGTTAAGAACAAAGGTTTTGCTGTTAGACAGACCTGGATCAGAATACCAGATCCATCTTTTGTAAAGTGTATAATTGTGAAGAACTCTTATATAAGATTGTTAAAAATGAAATATAATAACATATGTAAGGTACCTGACTCGAACATAGGTGGAGCTCAATAAATGCTTAGTTAACAGTTATTTTAAGGAGATAATAATTGAATGTGCAATTGAGGAGTGGGTAATTTAGGTAATACAACAGAGGGACATTTAATTGTTATATAATTGGCTTATTTTTAAAAAATCAAATATAACATTTCTGTTACTTTATTATAGATGAATATTTAGGACCTAAATTGTCTGACTTGCCAAAATTAACCTACATTTAGATATGTTAAGAAGAAATTCAGGGTTCTAGAATACTTGCCACATTTGTAGATCTATACAAGGAACTGATTAATCAAAACACATATCATTTTAACATTCAGATCAGACCATTTATTAGAGCATTAAATATTAATGGCCCTTACTCACACATCCAAACATGTCTTAAGGTTTTTAGTACATCAGCATCTGATATATATGCTCCTCCCTTTAATCCCAGCCAGAGAAAGTTTTCTTAAAAACAAAAATTGTGAGATGCCTGGGAGATATCTGATCATTCCCACTGTATCTTTTTATCATGAAAAGTAATTCTTTATAGCTTTTATCCTGAGGTTGATTTTAAAATTTTATTTGGATTTTTTTTATTTTGAGAGCAAAGAAAATATTCAGAATAAAATATTCTTGTAACAAGAACTTTCTGTCCTTTTTGCAGAGAATCCCTTGTTATCAATCTAGTAAAGAATTCAAATACACAAGATTCTTACCAAGTTGAATGTGCAGATTATATCAAAATTCAGAAAACGAGAGAACTAGAGTATAGGACTTGTTTCAGAAAGATGGAAGAGAATTACTTGGAAAGCCTTGGGTACAGAGAAATGGTTGATTCCAGATCCAGACCTAAAATGTATGAAGAAAGACTTCCATTTGAGACTTTCCAGACATACCCAGGATCATACAATAATTCACAAACAGTGGAAAACCAGTTACCGCATTGCTTACCAGCTCATTCAAAGAAGACACATGACTCTTTCAAAGATGAACTTGAAGATTACATCAAAGTGCAAAAAGCTAGAGGACTAGATCCAAACACTTGTTTTAGAAAGATGAGAGAAAACTCTGTGAACCGAGGGTATAGAGAAATGGTTGATTCTGGACCCAGACAAAGAATATGTGAGCAAAGATTTTCTTTTGAGACTTCCCATACCTACCACCAATCATACAGTAGTTCACCGGTGGAAGGCCAGTTACCTCATTGGTTACCAGCTCATTCAAAGAGAACATATGACTCTTTCCAAGATGAACTTGATGATTACATCAAAGTGCAGAAAGCCAGAGGATTAGAGCCAAAGACTTGTTTCAGAAAGATAGTTGATAGCTCTGTGGAAACTCATAGGCACAGAGAAATGGTTGATAGCAGAACAAGATACAGAATGTTTGAGCAAAGACTCCCATTTGAGACTTTCCAGACCTATACAGGACCATACAATAGTTCACAAACAGTAGAAAACCAGTTACCTCATTGCTTACCAGCTTATGACAGCAAACAGAGACTAGACTCTGTAAAGTACTGTCAACTTCCCAGAGACTATTTCTCAGAAAAACCAGTACCTCTGAGCCTTAGTCAGCAAGAAAATAACTCTGGCCCATACAGTGCAGAATGTGAAATTTATAAGCACTTTTCCTCAGAAAACAACACCAGCGACGATCAAGCAGCTCATAAACGGCGACACCAGAAGAAAAGACGACACCTTGAGGAAGGTGAAGAAAGGCAAGAGAAGGAGCAGTCCAAGCATAAAAAGAAAAAGAGTTATGAGGATATGGATTTAGGCAAAGACAAGAGCATCCAACAAAGTAAACGAGAAGAGGATAAAGTCAGAGTCAGTTCAGGAAAACTTAAGCATCGAAAAAAGAAAAAAAGCCGTGATATATCCTCTGAAAAAGAAGAACGTAAGCACAGGAAAGAGAAAAGAAAATCTGTTGAAGAAAGGACAGAAGAGGAAATGCTTTGGGATGAGTCAATTCTTGGATTTTAAACTTTTAGTTTACCAAAGGATGATTTGAAGAAAATAGTATGGGTTTAGATAAAGACAGGAGAATCCAATGAAGAAAAGGAGAGTTTGATGTGGTCATTGTTGGTGCAGGAAAGCTTCATTGTTTTGTGTGCAAAAATTAAAAATGAATTGAAAGAAGAAACACACGAAAAGCCTAAGTCAGTCTTTTAGAAAGAAGAACAGCAGAGAAAATCAAACCTATGAAAGAAAAACAGAAAAGTCAGTATTTTGGGATGAATCTGCTTTTGGATTTTAAACTTTTAGTTGGTGTTTCCTCAAGGATGAACTGAAGAAAACATCAAGAAGATGAAATTAGATAAACACAAGAGCATCAGATGAAAAGGAGAGGTAGATACAGCCATTGTCAGTTAAGGGAAACTGGTTTTCTCTTTTTCTTTCTTTCTTTCTTTCTTTCTTTCTTTCTTTCTTTCTTTCTTTCTTTCTTTCCTTTTCTTTCTTTTTGTAAAACTTGAAATTTAACTGAAAAAACAACCAAGAAAACCCAAAACTAACTTCTGAGAAACAAGAACATAAGAACACAAGAAGAACATAAGAGAAAAGGAAACTTATAAAAGAAGTCAGAAGAGTCAATGCTTTAGGGTGATTCTATCCTCTAATTTCAAACTTCCTAGTTTTATTCCCTTAAGGTTGAAGAAACAGGTTGAAAAGTTTGGTTTTATTAAATAATTATTTGATTTTTCACATGGACAGTTAATGTAATAACTATAAAAGCCAAGTGAACTGAAAGTATTCACTATGCCTTTTCCTCAAATTACTCTCCTCAATTTTTTAAAAAAGAAGAAAAAAGAAAGAAAGAAAGAAAGATTATTAAATGTATCTTACATAAAATGTAATTTCCCTAAATGGGGTTATCTCTACTTTGTCCATCAGATTGCTGTGATAGTGGATTTTTTTACCCAAGAGAGATAATTTATTTTTTAATGAGAGAATTATCAAGAATTGCAGTGTACAGCCATACCACCCTGAACTCACCTGATCCTATTTGTTCTTGGAAACTAAGCATGGTCAGCCCTATGGGAGACAAGGCATTGCTGAATCCATTCCTTTTGGGGTTTGTGTTAGTGTTGGTGGTATTTTATTATCGATGTGTTTGTTTATGTTTCTTAGTTTTCTCAAAAGAAAATGTATGAAACAATTTACACTGATTTTTTTCTTTGTTAAATCTAATTTGCAGTGTATTTTTGTATTTTCTAGTTCTGAAATTGAAAAATTAAATAGTCTATAACAAACTTAGAAGATATATACTTTTAAAAAAAGTTCTCAAAGTGCTGATACAAAAATCACTCTATATTCTGGAAGTGTTTATATTAAAGTGTTCTAATTTCTATACATTGTTTTATTTAAATGATCATTTTCCATCCATAGATGATTGATCTTGGAGTGAAGGGGCAGTAATTAAATAGTTTGCACTTAATACTTCTGGGAAGATCACACTATAAAGCTATAATAATTTCATTGCTTTTACAGCTTGTCTAGTAGAAACTGGTACTTTATCTTCAGCTTAGTGTTATCTTAGAAAAATATGACCAGCTAAATACTTGAAATTGAAGAAGGAAAAATTTTAAGTGATAGGGGCCCATGAGGGTTTATTACCTTTAAATTGTTTGATTTTGATGATTTTTTTATTCTGGTGCTCCTTTTTTTTATCATCAGCAACTCCTGTAAGCATTTGAGCATCACTGTGGTATAATAGAAAGTATAATGGCCTGGGAATCCAAATCCCAGGGTTGGATTCCAGTTGTACCATCAAGTTGCAGCGTGATCTTGAGAATGCCATCAGAATCCAACATGGAGTCACCAGGAATAGGAAAAATAGGCTATAGTAGTCCCTTCACGTGCTAAACCTATTCAAAAAGTAAGTAAATTTTAATGGTGATATATCTGCATTTAGGCAAGCCATTTCATAGTTGGTTTTTATATTTGAAATTTAAATAAAATGGTAGATATGTGCTAAAGCATGATATTATTGGTTGGGCTTATACCTAGTTAAATAAATAATCCCAAAGAGTTAGATGGTCCCCAAATCTTTTTTTTTCTTTTATGAGACTGTTAATATAAGATTATTTTATGCTATAGTATCATCCCCCCCTTTTAAACCATATTTGGTATACTAGTGAAAGGAGAGGAAGAAGAGCCAAGATAGAACAAGTAGACTAAATTGTCAGCCACAAAATTGGCATTTTTTTTTCTGAGCACACACACATAAATACAAAAGTACAAAGTTTTTTTTTCCGTACAGAAAATGCAAGATAAGATCAATTGAATCATTAACATTTTTACAGTTGATAAATTCTTATGCAGAAGTCTTTTTCTATTTAAATCTGTTGGGGGAATTCAACATTATATGTCAAGAATATTCACTAAGATACCAAATTACTGTGTTATTCTCAAAATGTATAGATACAATGTTCCATTAAAATTAGCCATACATAACTTTATAGAAATGAATCATGTAAATTAAAAAAAACATTAAATTGGGTAGTGTGGCTATTGTAACAAATAGGGTGTGGTTTTGATTACAATCTTAAGGCAGTAACTTGGCTTGCCCAAGAAAAGTGGTTTTCAAAGATTTTAGGATAAATTTTTTGGCAAAAGTAAATTATTTGTTAACCAGAAAATTTAATTTTATGGTTGAAGCTGGTGACAAGCACTTGGAACCCAAGTTTTGCATATTTGCTCTGCTCCCATCTTCTGCCTCTAAGCATCTGGAGGTAAGAATATATCTAAGTCAAAATACATCAACACACAGAGAGAAGATATAAAGTGATCTCCACTTCTGGAGTTGACTGCTGACTCTGTTAAGATTAAATTCAGTAGTAAAAGTTTTTTTAAAAATCCTGCACGGGGTATGGAAGACAATATAAAGACTTATTTGAGGAAAAATAATTTAATATATTACATATGAAAGCAATGTTTGGGGATGTATTACATGTTTGGTTTGAAAGACCAATATCTAGACATAAATTCACATGTGATCTGAGGCAAATGTTAAAGACAGTATTCAGAACAAGTAAACTAATAGTACCTAACATCAGAGATGTGCCCTGAACTGGATAGTAGAAATGAGCAAACATAGGCTTAATTTGAAAAATATTTTTCAAAAATGGGAGTTTTAGAAAAAAATATATAATTGGCTGTCCTATTATATACATGCATTGAGAAAATAATAGCTGACTATCAGTATTGTGCCAGAAAGGGACCTGAGAAAGAAATGAACATATGTCCTGTTTCGCAAAAAGCCCACACAGTCCACAAGAGGAAAAGGACCAATAAACAGGTAATTGTGATATGAATTGGATAAAGGCTACAACAGGAATGATTATGAAGGGTAACATGGCATTCAGGAAAGGCTTCACAAAGGAAACTGTTCTAAATAAACTTCCCAGTTCAAAGTTGTATCTCTTTAATATATCCATGTAGCTAGAAGGCACCTCAAACTTAATATATTCAAAATAGAGTGCCTGCCTCTATCATTATTAATCATTCATTTTCTAGTTTACCCATTTATGTAAAAATCTTCATTCAGTTGCTCAAGCAAAAACAAACAAACAAACATTTTTGAGCATCTCTTCTTTGCATTAAACCAAACAATTCCTCTTAATTATATGACCAAAAGAGGAAAATGTTTGAGAGCAACTAAAACATTAGAAGTCATTACAGTTTCTGAATTACAGGTAAGTGAAGAAAACTGCACAGGATCATCAAAAGAGAACTGTGGTGAACTAACTCCTTGAGGATCTCAGAACCATTCAGCATACATTTTCCTCCAGGGTAAATCCATGTGAAAAAAGAAAACTTCTAGTTTCTGAAATCAAATTGAACAGAGCAGAAAGATTGTAAGGAAAAACGTAAATTCATATGTTAGAGGATGGGAGAAGAATCTAGAGAAAGCAGATCTCAGAAAGCATTATGGCACCAAAATAAATATATAAACATGAGATTAACACATTAGACCAAGACCTGTTGAATGTGAACACCAGAAAATGCAGACAAAAAGCAGCTGGAACATCTGACCTAGTAATTTTTTAAGTGCGCTAAATGGAAGAAAACATTTAAACCTTTGAAACAGAATGAATCAGAAAAATAATCCAGAAACAGTCAACTGAAGGGTGTGAAACAAAAACTGACAGAAGGGAACAATTAAAAAAATCCATAAATGAAGATTTGGAAGGTAGGAGAAACACTGTGATAAAAATGGTAAGGAAGATAAGAGCAAAGTGAAGACAATTTTTAATTATATAAAAGATTGATAGGAGTAATAGGTAAAAAAGCCAATGGAGATCTAAATTAAATATGTTGTATTGGATGCTGTATTGTGCTGACCCAAACCATCCTCTATCTGTCACACCTTTTTCAGGTGAGAGGCATTCATTTCTCCAGTTTCTAGGGAATAGTCCTTGTCTAAGGAAACTGCCCTTCCTAAGACCAGGCCTCCTGCTTCAATCTGGGACACCTGCAAAAGGCTATTCTAGTTACAGAGTTCCTTATGGGATGAGCAGAGGTATTTGTCGTGACTGTTTGTAGTTCCATTTATCCTTCTATCACTGCCTTACAAATATTTTTCTGATAACCCTTTAAATTGCCTTCATCAAATCCCTACCTCATAATAATTTCTTCCCAGAACCTTACCTAGGACAAGAGGAACCAGAAATGGTCTTAGGAAATAGACACCAAAGAGGGGCGGTTTGGAGCAGGCAATATGGATTCTCTTATTTGTAGGAGGTAAAATACAGATGATAGGTGGTTTCTCTCATGCTATGGCAGTATAGTTTTAAAAGTTTCACCAGTGATGCTGTTGGACAGGAATATACATGCATGTGTAATATCTCAAGCAGTTGAGAGGATCAGGGGACATAGCAATTATATGAAAACTGCTAAATTTCAGAGTCATTGTTGCATTGGAGAAAGAAAATGAAGGCTGACAGAAACACCAATTTAAGGAAAAATATGAAAGTTAAAAGGTGTTATGATTTAGATACCTGGTATACCCCAGAAGCCCATGTCTGAGAATGCAAGAAGGTTTAGAGGCCAGATGATTGGGCTATGAGAACTTAACCTAATCAGTGTGTTAATTCCTTGATAGGGATTAATTGAGTGGTAACTGAAAGTGGGTAGGGTGTGGCTGAAGGAGGTGGGTCATTAAGGGAATGCCTTTGGGGTTTATATTTTGTGGTTGTGAGGAGAGCTTTCTCTCTGCTTCCTGGTGCCATGTCCCCAACAGCTTTCCTCTGCCACACACTTCTGCTGTGATATCCTGCCTCACCTCAGGCCCTGAGAAATGGAATTCACTGTCTGTGGATTCAGACTTCCAAAGCAGTGAGCCCCAAAATAAACTTTTCCTCCTTAAAATTGTTCTTGTCAGATCTTTTGTTCACAGCATCAAAAATATGTCTAAACTGAAGGCATCCTTGGTAGCATATAAAGGGATTTTCATCTCTTCATCTTCATCATACCTTCCCCTGGACCCTCTGAACTCTAGAATTGCCAGATAAAATACGGGATGACTAGTTAAATTTGAATTTCATATAATGAGCTAATTTTAGTATAAATGTGTTCATGGAATATTTGAGATAAAATCACTTAAAATTGTTTATATAAAATCCAAAATTAACTGGGTGTCATTATATTTAATTAGTTTTGATAAATGTGGCCACTTAACACATTTCTAACAATTAATGGCTAGCATTCTTTTCTTGCTTGAAGATAATATTGCCTTGAAAGACAATAAGGCCCTTCCCCAAGCATTTATACCCATCACTCCTACTGTCCATCAGACCAATTACTATGATCAAACCACAGTTTAACCCAGCCTGAGAAGTACTAGTCTTATAAGGGGAAAAAGACTGTATGTATTCAACAGAAGGAAAGAACTAGGAAGAGGTTTGGTGGAACTGGTCTCTAAGATTAGACAATTTGTGGCCAGAATGTAAGAGAGCTAGAGGTTTCTAGGAGGAGCTCCAGGAGAAAGGCAAGTCAGGAAAGAGTAAGGGTGGGCTCTCCAGAAATGGGGCATAGAGGACTTTGATAAACAGTATTAGTAGCCTTGTTCTGTTATGAAGCAGGAGTTGCTATGGTTTGAATGTATTTATATTCTCCATAATTCACATGCTGGAAACTTAATTCTCAATGCATCAGTATTGGGAGGTAGGCCATAGTGGGAGGTGCTTAGATCATGAGAGTCCTGCCCTCACAAGTGGATTAATGTCACTATACAAAGGACTTGTGCATGTGGCTTCATTCTCATCAGTGCTTATGCCATATGAGGAATGGTTTTTACCACCCCTCTCCCACCCCTGGTAATAAGTATTCAAGTCACTATCCTGGAAGTGGAGACAAGGCCCTTAACAGACAACAAAAATATGCCAGCATGTTGATTTTGAACTTTGCAACCTCTATAACAGTGAGAAATAAACTTCTGTTTTTTATAAATTACCCAGTCAAGTCTCAGACATTCTGTCATAATAGCACAAACAGAATATAACAGGAATCATGAAATATTTCTAAGCAAAAAATAAAATAAAAAGTTGGACTGGATTGTCTCTGATGATATTTTATGAGTCTAATGTGCTCATAAAACACATTTAGTGTGAAGCTGGAGGCTAGGCAGGGAAGGAGACACAACATAGGATCTGTACAGTAATCTAAGTGTGATATTAGGTAATAGGGTAGTATCAGAGAGAACTGGGAGTGAGACACAGAGGGAGAAAAACTGTAGGATTCCTTGACAAAACTGAAATGCTAGGCTAGGTCATAGATTCCTAATGAATATTTGAACTGAGAGGAAAGTGGGAAAGCAAAGCCCTATTTAGATGGGCTAATATCAGAAACACTGATACAAAGAAAGTCAAACTGAGATCATGCTGAGATTAATGGAAAAAGGCTTCAGATTGAAATAAAACCAAATAATTTTTCATTACAAATGTTAAGTTTCTTAGGACATTCTAGACCAAGGAGGATTAAAAACAATTTTAAGTATGTAATAATTGACCTATAACACTTGGGATCAGTAAAGCTTCACCCTGTACCTCAATTTAAGATAAGCACTTAGTAAAAAGATGTTTGGGAATAGCAAGGATCAGTCATATTATGGAAAAGTCAAAAAGGATTCCCCACATACCTGTTATTCTAGAATATACCATATGGGTACAGCCTCACCAGATGTTTGATGCATTTGTTTTCTTCCTTGTTTTTAATGAGTAGTTCATATAATTCTTAAGCATATTATGACAAGGTTCTGGAGGAAGATTTCATAAAATCTTTCAAAATTTTTTATTTATCTTTAATTGGCACATGGAAGATAGAACAGTTTAGACAGGAAATCTATTTGTGTACTTCTTTTCAAAATATTAGCTGTACATCAATCTCACCTCACCAGCTAGACACAAATGTAAAGGATATTTATTAGAAAAAAGAAAGCATAGGTGCAAGGTAACCCCAAAGAGATGGAGAAGAAGGAAGTGTGCAGTACTTAGGTGATTTTCATAAATGATGTATCTAAAATATAGAAATAGGTATAGGCAGAAGTGAGAGTCATCAAGCCCTTCTGTATCCTGAAATGCTGTATAAAGTAACTAAGAAAGTAAGCATTCATTTGACTGTATATTTTCCACATAATGTTTCTCTTTTGCAGAACTCATAGATCCTGAAGAGGTTGGGTGGGGCAGAGTTTTTTTCCATCCCAGAAAAAGATAAAATCCTGGCCTTATATATT